TCTTTCTTTCTTTGAAGCCCACTGGTTTGCCTCTTAGAAAATTGACAAACAGGTTGAAATTAAACAGAGCTGGTTAGAGAGAAGAATTTTGTGTGGTGTATTTTATCTGTGGATCTCGGGTAATGGGAGGCTGGGGCATATCTGGCATACCATTAAAGATATGTTATTGTATTAACACAAAGTGCTTGATGAGCCAGCCAGCTGATGGGACCCCTGGCTTGTGTATGAAGTCTCTTTAAAAAATTAAATTAAGTAGGAACAGTGTGCAAGGACAGAATGAAAGCACCACGCATCTGCTCCTCAAAGGACACTCAAATGCAAGTTTGAGTCTAAGAGAACATGGCTGCTGAGCAACCAGTTCTCACTTTGTCTCCTGCAGTTCCTTCACTGGCTTTTAGGTGTTTCCCCCTTCCCATGGAAATCATTGATCATGAGAATAGCTTGTAAAACTCAAGTGGATCAATGGGAAGGAGTTTGGTTGTCCCTTATTCTTCTGACACTGAATTGCAGCCAGAAGAACCAGAAACTGCCTCTGATACTGGTAGCACAGAGAAGAGAGCATCCTCCATTCAGATAAATTGATAACCAGCTGATTTCAGGGCTCCAGAACCCTGTGTCAGTGTATCTCATATCCCAGTGCTTCTTGCTCTGGCAAAAGTCTGGAGAGGGTATGTACAAATTGCTTTGGACTCCTCATCACCCATGAGGAGAGGTTCTTGGGTAACCAGCCTGTTGGACTAAAAGTGGCTTCTCAGACCTTGTCTCCTAGAAGAGACGTTCTTAGCCTGTGGATGGAAATGGGCAGAAAAGCAGAACAAAATCTCCTCTCTTTTCCCAGATGAAGCGAATTTGCCAAAGTTTTAATAAGAGAAACAGCTCTGATTTAAAATCTATAAACAGTGGGTTTTTTTGTGATCTCTTTTTTGTTTGGGCCAAAAAAAAAAACACTTCTGCTTGAAAGCTTATCTGCTTCTTTCAATTCATATTGACTTCTACTGTATAAAAAGAGGTTTAGAAAAAAAAAAAAAAAAAACTTGGAGGCTTTTGGGCCAAAATGATTTCTTGTAGTTTTTCCTACTTCTACTTAAAATGCAGGAAGACTTTTAAATGGTTGAACTGAAATGTGCAGATTTGGTTGCGCAGATGCTTCGGTTCAGCACTTGGTTTAGCTTTTAATGTTGCAAGCCTACTGAAAATCTCTGCCCATCTTTATGGGGAAATAAACCAGCTGACAAGCTTGCATTTGGGGGAAGAAGACTTTTCTGGGAGATATGTCTTACTAGATGAGCTAGTACAGTTAGAAGCAGGCAGACATGGGCACAAAAGCCCTACGGGGCTAGTAGTGAATAGTACTAGTGAGAGGATATTGGTTAAAAATCGCATGCTCTTCTTAGCCAGCATGCCACGCTGCTTGTACATGGCATGTGGAATGCATTTTGAGAGTAGAAAAGGCACAGCGAGGGCATAAGTTTCACCTGCTCCTTCTCATGATCAAAGTCAAAAGATGTCTCTAGGTAATGACTTCAAAATTGATTGCTGTCATTTAGGTAGTATGCCACTAAGTCAAGAGCTGAACAGGAGTCAGTGTGTTACAGAGCTGTACGCATCTGCAGCTTTCACAGTGACAGAATAAAAACATTTACAGTTATTGTGTGTGTGTGAGGCAAGGGGAGTGTTCTCCATGGAGTATAATCCATTTGTAGAGTACTACAATAAGAATGCTAATGACAAGTATTCTGTAACCACACACAATTGCGCAGCTTCTGCATCTCAAAGATGTGGAAGGTTGACCACATCACAAGTTTCCCTAGTATGGCGGACGTTTAGTCCCAGCACTTCCTCCGTAAAACTCTTCTCTTCCAGCTGTAACAAACTTTGCTCACTGGTACATAATGTTCTCATTGTACTATTCATGTCTTGTCCAACAGGTACACTCAGACTACAAGGAAACAGAAGTCCCTGTGGTAAGTTCCCAAATGCCTGTGTGCTTGCACTGCGTGGTATTTCTAAAACGCTCCTGAAGCGCTTCCTGAAGTGTAATGTTCTTTTGGGCACAAAAAGTCATAGGTGACCAGTAAACTTGCTGGGGTGAAGGAAGATAGCTCCATGTTCTCTCTGAGGGACAGGGTTTGCCTATATCATAAGTGGCTCCTGCTGTTGCAAATGTTGGGCATGGTATTGAAGGATTCAGGCCCAAGAGTAGGAGGGGTGTATACTGTAAGGAATCTGGGTTGTTTGAGGTGATTTTTGAGGGTGGAAAGAGTATGGTGGGAGTCAGCCTATACACGTTACTTGGTTTCACCCTAGCAGTGAGTAACTTCTTAACAGCAGTTTAGAAAGCCTCTTCAGTTAACTGTTTACTAAAATGACTTACCCTGCAGAAGAGGGGGGTATCCTAGTTCTGTACTAGCTGCAAACGGGTAGGAACACTGGGATGTAGAAGGTTACCATCATTTAATCCTGTTCCCCACCTCCTTCTAGGTAGCGCACCAAAATTTTCCAGTGTCTAAAGTGCCCAATAACACCAGCTGCACAAAACGGATAGGTGGTCCTACTCCTGAGCTACAGCAAGCCCTCTCTGCCAGTGAGAGGCAATGCGTAGAGACAGTCGTCAACATGGGGTACTCGCCTGAGAATGTCCTGAAAGCCATGAAGAAGAAGGGACAGAACATAGACCAGGTAAGAGCCTGTGGAGCAAGAAAGGGACCCTCTCTCAGATGCTGATTCTGCTGAGGAACTGGACCTTGGTTTTGTAAAATTGAGGGCGGGGGGGTGTGGAATTCCTGGACTCGAACATTGGGTTGCTGCTTGTAGCTACTGTAATATCCTCTGGAGAAGTTGAGTCACCTGTCACTGAAGAGTCCCAAAAACAAACAGAAAAAGCATCTGTACAAGTTTCTGTTGAGATGCTGCTTAAGGCAGCCACACCTTCAGGCACTGCATCACAGCTCTCCAAGGCTGGCACAAGCCCTCAGCTCTACACGAAGCTGGGAAAGGTACTTGGTCTTCTCAAGAGCCACAAAGGATGGCACTGAGGATATTTAGCATGGTTCTACCTCTTCTTCAGTGCTGTTTGACAAAAACTAGACAACTTCCTTTGTTCTGAGCTCAAGCGGTTATTGCGCTGCAGTCCCTCTGTCTAGAGGGATTGGCCCCTGCAGGCTTATTACAGTCATGAAAGGCTTTTGCAATACACCAGTGACTGACTCTTTGTGCTATGACTGTGGTGCCTCCTTCCCCACATGTTGCCTCAAACGCTTTTTAAAACCAGGTCAGAGCATACAACGCTGCAGAGTGGAGCTTGGCTCTGGGTCTTGGATCATCTTCAAAGACAGACATGTTTTAAAACAGGAAGAACGTGGCTCGACCTTCCATGCTGGCCCTGTGTTTGCTGTGCTTTGTCCAGAACATCCCCTTGCTGGACTGCCCAGATAGCCTGGGGAGGAGTAGTGTCCCAATAATTCTTGTTCCAGGCAAAATTTGCCTACCTGTGGAGCTGATCTGCTTGTCCACTGATTGTGAATCTGCTTAAACAGTGCACTGAAAGGAACTGTAGTACTAAATGGAAGGCGTGTGCCTTTAG